AATCACCAGTACATCAACAGGATAAAATATTCTTCAGTGATGAAAAGAAATGAGGTTATCAAGTCAAAAAGACTTGGAGAAACCTTAAAATCATATTGCTAAGTGAAAGAAGCCACTAGGACAAGGTTACACAGTGTATAAGTCCAAGCACATGACATTCTGGAGAAGATAAAAGTATAAGGTTGCCGGTTCGATCCCCACATGGGCCACTGTGAGCTGCACCCTCCCTAAAAGACTCAACTATGCCATTGTTGCATGAAAACAATGTGTAACCAATGATCATGGCTGTTCCCCAATAAAATAAAATAAAAAAACCACACAGATATTTGGCTGCCAGGGATTTGGGGATGGGAGGGAGGGATGAATTCATAAGTGGAGCACAGATTTTGAGGACAGCGAAAGTATTCTATAGTAGTCTCCACTTATCCACAGTTTCCCTTTCCATGGTTTCACTTACATGCAGTCAACTGCAGTCCAAGAATATTACATGGAAAATTCTAGGAATAAACAATTCATAAGTTTTAAATTGTATGCCGTTCTGAGCAGCATGATGAAATCTCAGGCTGTCGCACTCCGTCCCACCCCGGACGTGAATCATACTTTTGTTCAGCAAATCCATGATGTAGACACTCCCTGCCTGTTAGTCACTTAGTAGCCAATTCTATTATCAGATTGACTGTCAAAGTATTGCAGTGCTTGTGTTCAAGTGACCCTTATTTTACTTTATAGTGGCCCCAAAGCACAAAAGTAGTGATGCCGGCAATTCATGTACGAGGTCAGACAATTAAGTTCATGAACTCATCCTAGAAAAAGTGCTACATACCTCATTGCTGAATATCAATCCTACAGTCACCTTCGAAGTATTCCCCTTGGGAAGCTATGCACTAACTCCAGTGCCTAGTCCACCCTTCAAAGCAATTTTGGAACACTTTTTCTGGAATGGCCATCAGAGCTGTCGTCGGATTACCCTTGATGTCCTGAATGTCATCAAAATGTCTTCCTTTCCATATTTCCTTTATCTTCAGGTAAAGAAAGAAGTAATTGGGGGCCAGATCAGGTGAGTAGGGAGGGTGCTCCAATACAGTTATTTGTTTTTGGCTAAAAACTCCCTCACAGACAGTGCCGTGTGAGCTGGTGCATTGTCGTGATGCAAGAGACATGAATTGTTGGTGAA